GTGATTCCCTTAGGAAGTCACAATGATCATCCTATATCTCTTTCATTGCTAGCAGCACATGGATCAGACAAATTCCTTCTTCGCAATGTCTTGTATATGTTTTCTTCCATCAAAGAACAAGTCGTTTTGGCGTCCAAGTTGGTAACTGCACCAGTAATCAATAGAGATGCTGATTTTGGTGCAGCAGAGTTGTTGAAAGAGAAGGTTTTATCTTTTCTTTTTATGAATGTTTAACCCTTTGTTTCTTACTTTCTTTGCTGAGTGATGGTTGTATAGGGACTAAAGTTTGGTTGATAGGACATGAGTTGCAAATTAGATCTTGTTTGGCACCTCTGACTACTCCAGAATCCTGATGTTAAATTGACCAGTAGTCCTCCAGGCTAATTCAAATTGGCTATATTCTTAATTATAAGTCTTGCTACCTTTTCTGAAGTTATACTCTTCTATCAATCGTAGCAACAATTGTCTATCTTAATAAAAAGATTTGGATAAAATCAGTGTTTTTTGGTCATGCCTAATATTTGCACCCAAGTCTAAATGGCTTATTTTGGAACTGTGGGAGGTGTCATTTTTTTTTCTTGGTATGTGTATCATTAATCTCGCAGAAGTTATCTTATAGTTGTAGGTTTGAGATGCCATCAGGTTAAAGCAATTAATTTCATGTTTTGAGGCACACTTTGTCAGCATCTAATCTACTTTTTTAAAAAATTCCACAATCTATGATTGAAATTTGAACTCCCTTGACAGGGAAATAGTGCTTTCAAAGGACGAAAATGGAGCAAGGCGGTTGAATTTTATTCTGATGCTATCAAATTGAATGGCACAAATGCAACATATTACAGCAATAGAGCAGCTGCCTATCTGGAACTTGGCCGGTATACTTCCTACATCCGTTCCGATTGCTCTAGGTTCATCTGAAATTGGTACTTGCTATACCTTTTTAATCCTGTGCAGTTATAAGCAAGCTGAAGCAGATTGTGAGCAGGCCTTACTCTTGGATAAAAAGGTAAGGCACTTCTTCTTAGCTTTTGAAGGCTTGCTATCGTTAGCATTCCTTTTCTTTTGTTGTTCAGAGTCTCGTAGGTGCAAATTCCCATGCTTCATTTTGCATGCATATGATTTCTTTAATGCACATCCTAATATATTACTTCTTGACCATGCTTTTCTGCATATGATTTATTGTAGATCATTTATGTTCTGGTATGTTGAATATCCGACCTCTGTATTTGCTTATATTTTATCTTTTTCACTGTTGATAATGTGCCCCATAATCTTTTTCGGTACTAGGTTCCATATATGTGGTATCAGAATATCAGATGGATTATCTGATCTTGAGATTAAATTCCTGAAATAAATGTATTTTAGGAAAAAAAAAGTAACATCTTATAGCACAAGCTGTGTACGTTTATGTAGCTTTCTAGAAGGGGACATAAATATTTTAAGATTTGTTTCATGTTCCTCGTACTCTCCTAAACATAAGCATTAATTTTTTGTTCATCGTAGTCTAATCATTTAAAAATTATTAGTGGACAATTGAAATAGTGTTGGCCAATGGTGCCAATTATTTAGTAACGGAGGGAGTAATCTTCTATGATTTCAACATCAAAGTCCCCACTCTTTTATTTTTCATTGTTTTTTCAGAATGTTAAAGCATATCTACGACGAGGGATCGCAAGAGAAGCTGTTCTGAATCACCAAGAAGCTCTTCAAGGTGTGACAATTTTCTATCTTGACATTACATTTTACTAGCATATTGAAAAGAACTAAATGAACCACTGCTAATACTCTATGGGTTGCCAATTATTTGCATATGGCAATGCTGGTTAAAGGTTGAAGCCATCTATGTCAATGGTGGCTAGTTAGTCTGCTAACCCTATGCATTGAACTGTGTTTTTATGCCAAATCACTACTGTTGCAAAATATTTCAAGGGCTAGAAAAGAAAGCTCATTGGTTGCTGCATTCTATTCTGAGATCTTTGCTCAAAATTCTCTCAGTTAATTAATATTAAATAAGCAATATGCCGTGGATAAAACACAATATAATTAACATTTAAATATAGGTGGATAACATCGGATGCATCCACAGAAACAGCAATTTAGGAAAAAAAATCATAAAAACCAGAATCTGCTGATTGTAGTTGGACAATTTCCCTCTGCTGGATGGTCTTGTCTTGCTATCTGTACAATACTACAATGACATTTGCATTTACAATGAAATCGGATGCCTTTGCTTTCATCTTCTGGTAAGCAGAATATGGTGAAGATATTGTTCTGCTATCAGATTATTATCTTCAAATACAAGGGCTATTTAGGTGAGCTGGTGGCTTATGTAGGTTCTCTACATTGAACCTTCTCTCTTATAGGAGCAATCATTAAGCTGAAGAACAAATCATTAAGCATAAGTTTAACTCTGGAAGAACGAATCTTGAAATTGAGCTGATTAATTTTCTTCTTGTTGAGGGAAGAGTCCAGTGTACTCATTAAATGAGTTATCAAGTACTGGTTGCCAGAAGAGCTTGGTGCTATACTATGACCCCGCTTTCTGTACTGAATGTCATTAAGTATGCTTTTAAGATAAGGACCTTCTCAGAAGAGCTGACATTTATGTTTCGCATATTTCTTTGTACAGATATCAGGCATGCTTTAGCTTTGGAGCCACAGAACAAAGCAGGCCTTTTGGCAGAGAGAAGGCTGCAGAAAAAACTAAGGTGATACGAGCAGCTGCCATCTCGTGAGTTTTTGAGAGGCGCCTGATTGTACGCAATTTTGATCGACTGAGGAAGCTCCTTCGCTCCGTTTGTTACTTGTGTTGCCCGTGTGAGGCATTGAGCAGTTTGCCGCGGTGCTGAGTCGTCATCAGTTGATGTTCTCACGAATTCGAGAACTTTGGCGTGTTTGTATAGGAATTAAGCCACATATTTTGGCCAGGCGATGACGGAAGAAACATTTGGTTAGATATATTTTGTACAAAATCATGTCATAATGATATCGTGCCTTGTATATAGTCGAGCTTTTTCGCAAGTTACCGGCGGCGTCGAGCCGTCGAGCAAGCAGCCCGTATGAAGAGACTTGATCGCCCCACTTTGGATCCGTCGTTAGGGTTGAATCCGTCCAGCCCATGTGCTATATTACAGGCCCGCCCAGCCCATGTGCTATATTACAGGCCCGCCCAGCCCATGTGCTATATTACAGGCCCGCCCAGCCCATGTAATGTTACAGGCACGTTCGCCGTAACCACGTCAGGCCGCCTCTCCTCAGCGCGTGCCATTGCTATACGGATAAGCAGCGAGCGCGCGCGCTTCTTCCGCCTCATATAGGCTGAGTTCGATAGTGTCAGTTGTCACACAGTCACTTGTTGGGTCTTTGCAATTGCTTTCCTCGCTGGCTGGCTGTAAGAATGGACACGCTGCAGCAGCGCAGGAACCAGCTCCGGATACCAATGGAGCCGCTCGCCTCCTTCGCCGCGAGCTTCTTCGCGGCCCTGTCGCCGCCGTCGCCGTCGGCGGCCGCGGCGGATAGCTCCACGGTGCTCCTCCTGCCGCTCCCCGTGGCGGCGGCGCGGGCCCTGACCGTGCTCCGAAGGCTCCTGCTCCTCGCCACGCAGTCCTTCATCTCCCTCTTCTTCATGTTCCTCAGCGTGCTGTCCCCGCCGCCGCCGCCGCCTCCTCCGGCGCTCGCGCCGGCGCTGCCGCGTGCTGACCCGGGGTGCCCCGCGGGGGCCAGCTGCGTGGGCCGCGCCCTCGCGCACGTGCTCTCCGTGGCGTCGCGGCTCCCCGTTGCCTCCCGCAAGTACGAGCTCGTGCGGGGGCTCGCGGAGCGGCTGCTGGACGACAACGCGCGCGGCGGCGGGGCGCGGATCGGGGCCGTGAACCGCGCCGCGCTGTCGGGGGCGTTCGCGCGCACGCTGCGGCAGCTGGACGCGGCGGCGGGAGGGGAGTGGCCGGGCATGGAGCTGGCCGTGCGCGCGGTGCGAACGGGCATGCGGTGGTGGAGGCCGACCGCCGCCGCGTTGGACGATGGGTTCGGCGGGCCCGCGGCGGAGAAGCTGGCCGCCGAGCTGCTCTGGCTCGGGCAGAAGATGGCCGAGTGCGGCGCCGCCCGCGAGGCCGCCGCGCAGTTCGGCGCCGCGTCGCGTCTGGGGAGCCGCGCGCTCGTCGCCGAGCCGACGCTCCAGGTCGCGTTGCTTCGGCTTGCTGGTACGTACAGTACGTTATATCACAAGACTCCTATGTTTTGCGTATAACTTGCGCCAATCAAAACCTAATTAAGACAGCGTAGACTAACGTGCCGGTGCCCGTGTACGGCTGCCGCCGGCAACTGCAAAAGAACATACAACATGGCGATTCCGTGGTCACGAGGTTTCATGAACTGAATAACCTTGATACTGAATTCAGTGAATTGTGTGATCGTTAGTGTTACCTTTGACGTCTCGATGTGTCATTCCATCTGGTGCAGTGTTCCTGTTCAAGCACGCCAACTCGAGGGAATTCGAGCCGAGCCCCGGAGGGAACGAGGACAAGGGCGCCATCGCCGAGCAGCGGGTCTCGCTGCTGCGGTCGTGGCTGCCGCTGCTCTGCCGCGGCAGCAACGGCACGGACGCGCCGGTGCTTAGCAGCAAGGAGAGGACGGAGATGGTGGCCGTGCTGGATGAGCTGATCGGGAAGCTGGGGTGGGAGCAGCAGGAGGAGATCCTGGCGCTCTGGCTGCACCACTTCGCCGCGTGCCCGGACACCGATTGGCCCAACCTCGAGAGCTGCTACACCCGCTGGTACGCAGAGTCGCGCAGGCTGCTCGAGTAGAACACCAACACTACACGCGGAAGGAGTGCGGACGCCGGTGTGCCTCCGTCTCCGTCCAGCCAAATACGTGTATCATTGTAAGTGTTAACGTGTATCGTGTACAGCATAGCAGTTAGCAAACTCAGTGTAGCCGTGCAGGGTACCACATCATTTTAGCCAGTGCATTCACTTGTGCGTATGTTCACAGCGGCAGTAATCGTATGACAGTTATGTATTCTGCAGTTTATTTACTCCTGAACTCTATAGTGTAAGGGTATCTGCAAACGAAGATACAATCACCTTCGGCAAACGTGTAAATCATCTAGTAGCAAATAAAGGCATTCTATCAGTAAAATAATGGAGTGCCTACGAGTTGTACCCCTCCTATGTGTGAATGACATGAATCGCTGTGTTTCAACAGAGCTTTAGTGGATGAAGTCATAAAGAAGGTAAAAAGGCCTAGGATTAGAAGCAAAACCTTCACAAATTCTCTTATTGTAGTTCGCCAGCCTTGACCTCAAATTCTTCTCTGGTTGATAATATCTTCACACGAACCATACCTCGCTCCCACTCGGATTTTCCGACCAATATCAGCCTACCAGCATTTATCCTCTCAGCATGCTTAAATACCCTGGTAGAAATAAAAAGCATTACAAATTTGGATAACAGCCGAGTAGGTACTCCCGAAAATTCAGAAGGTATACCATTTAAGACGCTTGTCTTCAACAAGGTCTACACTTCTGCCTTGCCTCCGCAGAGAGGAAGCAACACTACATGCTGGCCCTTCAAGCTCCTCATCCAATGGGAAGACAATGTCATCTATTTGGCGTGACAGATCAGGTAACAGACCCTTTTCTTTCAGCAGCTGCAAGGATACAAATTATAGTGTTGACGTTAGTGCATCTGAAAATGCATCATAAATTCACAGCAATAAACAAACAATGATAACCATTTCACCAGAATTTGCTGTTGTATCAGTTGTCTACTTGTATATTAACAGTGATAACCTTTTCATGTTCTTAGTACCGCCCCTTTTCATGTTCTTAGTACCGCATGGGACTTACTACAATGTAGATTGTGAATTCCCTGTTGCTGTCGTCAGTTGTCTACTTATATATTAGCAGGTATTGTTTATGTACTTGTTAAACATCAAAGGGATAATCTAATCTTTTACAAACCACAAAAGGAATGAAAAAGAAGACATACTTCCACTATAACAGCGTCTCCAAATCCAAAGCCGCAAGCTGGTATGTCTTCACTACCAAATGTTGAAAGTAGTCTATCATACCTTCCTCCACCACAAATTGCTCTCAGTTTTCCATCTCTATCAAAAGCCTACATGAATAGAACAATAGAACTTAAAATTGAAACAAGAGTTGGTACCAAGAAGAGCTATGGTATAGGATGCATCCAATATTCAGGTTAAAAAATAGAATTCCGAAGGCAAAGGATAAAACATATTAAAGAGAAGCTTTCACAAAGGCCGATAGCCGATAGCTGATGTCACTATCCTTTTATCTACTTGAAAGCTGATGAGAGTACGGCTTTCTTAAAGGAAGCATAAGAACCTAAATATCCTCTTGTCAGAAGAGCTAACAGTATGACCAACAGTAATGATGAAGATAATGCAATTGCAGTTCTCATCTAAATTAGCTATTGTAACACTGGCATCTATCCTGAGTACTCATAGCGGATAATTTGAGCAGCAACAACTAACAAAATAATAAAATATGATGCTAGGAGCATTCGTCATGAGGAGCAAAGCCTAACAGAAATATGAGCACCCGTGATGATGCTAGGAGGAAGAATCTACAACAGATAATTTGAGGGCAAAGACCAACAGAACTATGCATAATAATCTCAAAAAAATGTATTTGGGTAGCTCCTACCTCCTAGTTGTAACTCTATGCAGTTGCTATTTAGAGCACTGACTTGTAAACAGAGGAAAGCATTGTTGGTTGAAAATGAAAACCTGAAGGAACTGCACCTTTTCTCAAATGAGAAACGTATCTTAACATAATTTGATGAAATCTCAAATTCTTTACTTGTCACTTTTGTTAGTAACCCTATAAATTGTTGAATAAACAATAATATAGATATATGTAACATAAGGTGACGCTTCAACAACAACCTCAAAAACAATTCCTGTGTAGTATGCAAGGCCACGAACAACAGATGCATCAAAACAAATCCAATCAGCATAACCGTACTGCTCAGCAAACGAGAACAACTTCTTCAAGTCAGCAACAGCTTCAACATCAGAGCCTAGCACCTCTGTATGAGAACACCAAAATTAAAGATGAACAATAGCCACCTTTCTGAAAGATGCAATGATTATATTTTTATAAATGCAAATGCGGATAGCATTAGTTGAAATCGCCAGAGTAAGAGCATTTTTTAAAAATAAAAAAAGATCCCAGAATATAACGTAGCTGTTGATGATTTTCTTTAGAAATACAATTTTTAGTTTGGCACATGATCTAAAGAAATAATCAAACGAGCTTATTCATTTTGCAGCAGTCCATTGATTAATTATAGTCCATGAACAAAAACAAACAATAAGGTCAGGAGGAAACCTTCAAGCTTGGGTAGCGACTTGAGAGAAAGAACCTCAATGATACCCAGCACAGCTTCAGATGACAGCCCAATTGTAACCAACTTCTTCTCAATTTCTTCTCTAGTCAGCTTTCCCAGCTGTTCAATGGTAAACTAAGTGTTAGACAAGGAAAAAAAAATGCCAACATGAAGATATCAACAAAACATTGCATTAATGCAAGTATTCACCTAAGGAATTTCCTTCATCTAATGCTATAAAAAAGAGTATCCACGCAAAAGGCATAAATGATGGCCTGTGGCATATTACAATTAATGATAAGACTGGAATTGTATAATAGATTACTGGTCCATTTCTGGGTTTCACCAGAGAGGTAGACAAGGTGCAAAAATTTATCATCTTACAAACAAGCCCATAAATTTCAATGAGAAACAAGCAGGGAGAAGGCCCATGTCACAGCTTCTATTTGTATAAGCCATGGGCTGCTCAATTGAGTGATTTATCCTTAACTCTGTACCTGGACTGAATAGCTAAGAAGAAAATATGCAGAACTTCACTTAAATCAAGACCGACGGTAGTTAAGGGGATAGAAATGAACTTATTTCGGGCAAACTTGATGAATGGCAAGTTGATAATTATCCTAGACCATCAGGACCTTACTAGAGAATTTGATGTGAATGACCCATAGTTCATTAGACAAACTTTCAGGAATGAGCCAAAGAATATACACTACATTGCTAATTTCCCTGCTATTATTTGCAGTTATATGTTATTTGATGGTTGTCAACATTCAAACAGAAGCAAGAAAACATCAGGGTACAAATATCGAATTTCACAATGTAAAGGGTGGAAAGTCGTTAGTAGAATCTGACCATACTTTATCAACAATCACACAAACTTCAGTAAACAAATGTTCTGGAATGGAGTACATATTCAACACAGCCTGAAGGACCTGGAGAAAACAAAGAATGGTCAGACATACAAAAGAGGTGCCATGTCAATAAACATGTCCAGACTGCAGTAACACATGCAAAGCAGTTATCAAGTGGCAGTCACTACACCATTTGGGTCCCAATAGCTCCTCATCACATAAGAAATGAAAAATATATGTAATTTATACATTCTCCGTGAGCATGTACTCATGTAGTAACATGATATGCAGCACATCAGCTCACAGTACCTTACGTTTCAATAGTGATAAATGAAATATTGACACCAGACTGGCATAGGAAAGGGAAAATAGGGAAAGAAAAGTAAAAACATAATAACCAAATAGAAAATATTGCAAAAGATTTTTCAGAGGAAAAAGGTTAGCCATATGTACAAAAGTGTTACCTTTCGGCTGGACACTCTGATCCCCACATCTGAAGATGTAATCCCAAGACGTTCAAATAAGAGAATAATAGCTTGAAGAAGCTCAGACTCTGCCTGATTTTTATTAACAATAAGTCAATTCTAAATCAATTAAAATCAAACAAGGTGCTACAATGTAGCAGAGTGGCATCTTGAATCCAAGGACAAATATGAATCTCACACTAGAACGAATTTACTACTTACTCGAACTTTAGGCATGCCAAAAATATCCATGTTCCATTGATAATGTTCACGCCGTCTTCCTCTTGTCATACGCTCATATCGCCAGCATTGTCCTATAGTAAACCATTTCAGTGGAAGGGAGACTGATTTTCTAGACAGGAGAAAAAGTAAGCGAAAAATCACATTTCAAAGAACAAACTCATAATATGGCAAAGATGAAACGGTCACTCAACAGAAATTAATGGAAAATGCCACAAACATGAATGTAAGTCAAGCATGCCACAAACAAACCAGTTGAAAAAGGCATACCCTTGCTTTATAACTAGGCGTGCCAAGGAAGGGGTGATTTCAGGCCTCAGAACAACACGGCGCCCTCCTTTATCCTCGAAGTTATAAAGCTACAGAAGCAATAGTACAAGGTTTCGTAACTAACACTTGAATAATAGATCTGCAAACAGAACTAGAACATCGGTATAAGAGGAAAAACGAAAAGAAAGAGCACATAAACTTAGATTCCTTCTGATCTATTCTACCATGATCAACAAGTTTATAATCTACTGAAATGTATGCCAAGGTATGTGCATTTCTGAACCATGAGAAGATAATTTCAATTCGGTTTCACATTAGAGAGCTAGTACACTCTAAGCTAGTGACACTGCACTGTAAAGGGCGGCGTTGGTACCTGCTGCGTGATCTCCTCTCCGGCCTTGCGAATGAAGAGCGCCTCAGACTCGAGCACTGGGAAGTCCACCTCCTCAAACGCCATGACGCGGGACACCTTCAGTTGCAAACGGGAAGCTAGCATTAGCAACTAGTCCTAGCAAGCAACCCTTGATGGCTCCTTGAGAGAGATGAGAAGCGCAGCTGCGGCGTTCGCTTACCTCCCTGAACTGGTCGAAGAGCCAGGTGCGGAGGCGCATGTCCTCCGGGGGGAAATCCCTGGTCCCGCGCGGCGGATTCACGTCGACGACGGACGCACCGTCGGACGGCTCCACCGGCGAGGAGGGCTCGCCATTCTCCACCGTCGACGAGGATGGGGCAGAGGCGAAGAGCCGCTGGTGGCGGCGGGGTAGGGAGGAGGTGCGGAAAGTGGGGCTAGGGCCGAGGGGGAAGCGCGGGCGGCGGCGGAGGAGGAGGTGGTGGCGCAGCGACGCCGACGCGGAGGCGGCCATGGATTGACGACTCGCGAGGAGGTCTCGGCTCGTCTCCCTGTTCGTGGATAGGAGATAAAACGCAGAATCAGATTGGGCTATATTTGGGTAGCATTTGTGGTTGCGATCCGTATTTTATTGGGCCAAAATGGACCTCATATTGGATCATGATCCAAATTTTGTTCCGATGACTCTTGGGCTTGGGCTGATTTGCGCTTCCTGTTTGACGTCACCTTCCAAAAATTAGACCTGATGGAGAGATCAGAGGAGAGAGAGGAAAATAATTAAAAGGAAAATGGCGGCGGCGGCGGCGGCGGCGGGAGCGAGAAAGCTCGCCGGAACACTCCGCCTGCTCGCCGCCGGCCGCGGATCCGGCTGTATCCCTCGGGCGCGGGCATCTCCATGCGAGACGAGTTTCCTTCCCCACCGGTAACCATCTCCGACCTCTCCCTCCCCTCCCATGGACTCATCCACCTGATCTGACCTCTCTATCTGCCGTGTGCATTGTGGCGTCCCGATTCAGCTCCTACTCTGCGGCGAAAACCGGAGAAAATGGAGGTGCCACTGGTGGCGGGAAGAGGTCACGGATCCGGAGGATCGTGTCGATTGGGGTTATCAGCATCGCTGGCGGCGTCGCGCTTAGCGCCCTCAACGACCTTGCTATATTCCATGGATGCAGCAGGTCATATTTCTCTCCCTTTCTTCCATCCCGCCATTCTTTATCCGTTTATCAAGTTCGTGCATTTTTTTTAAGGTGTTCCTCTTTAGAATCACTGATGCTTGAGCATCAGTACTATCCATGCAACATATAACCAGTAGGGCAGTAACTGTGTTGAAGGATATTATGTCAGAAGAAGTCCTGTTGTTTGGTTACTATGTCTGTTTTGCAACTTTCTTCTGATTAGGATCTTAGCTGCGTTCGACATTTTTTTAGTTTAATTGGAAACTTTAGACTGTAGTATTACCCAGCTTCTTATGAGTAACTACGTTATAACAAATCTACAATAGGCAGCAAAGTCTCCTGTAGGTACTAACAGAAGATAGAAACGAAGGGAGATAGCAAGAAAGGAAGGTAGATAATATAGCCCTAATGATTTCATTAAGCTCTCAAGCAAATTACACAACTTATCTCAAACAGAGGCATTATCATGGTCAACCAAATGTGCACTCAGTATGTAGTCCTCAGGACTCCTCCACTCCAATCTCTGGTACATCTTAGAGCTGAGGACAACTTTCCTTATTCTGTCCACAGCCAATTTTCCCAGGTATCTTCACAAGAATCTACCACTGTTACATGGATACTAAGAGTAGTTTATACATATGAGGGGGGTAGCAAGATCTTATTGTTAAAACTTAAAACCATGTTGTTTCGAGTATCCCTCATCATCTAACAACTAGAAGCTTAGCCCAAAGAATAGATATTCATTATTTTGGCTGGTCACAATTATCCAAGTGCCTCCTCCACAACAGTACAACACAAACCAGCATAAATGCGCCATAAAGAGCCCTCCCAGAATCTGGGACATGATATAATGAGCAGTCTCGGCACCTTCACAGAGTTTGAATTTTAAAGTTCCCTCCCAGCCTCTCTTGTTCCCTGAATTTTGCCACATATATATCTCCCCAGAATTAAAACTACTGCGATTAAATATCTCTACATATTATGTGCCTGGTATATTCGGGTCTTTTATATTTGCCTTGTAAAACAGATCATGCAAGTGAATATCGGATTGTTTTTTACATCATACTACATGAGTTGTAAATTATTGATATGAACACCAGCTCTGTTTCATTTTACATTGTTTATCTGTCACCTAGCTCTGCTACCCTAATAATGATATTATAGAGGCATAGGAACATAGGTTTCTGTTGAGGAGTGATCCTCTCGAGCGGGAGATCGTGGGATCCCCCTTTTGTGAGTTCGGCCAGGGGAAAAGGCTCGCCTCTGGAAGTCACGTACTCGCCCCCTAAATTATCAGCTAGTATGCGCACAATAAGATTATACAGGTTCGGGCCGCTGTGAAGCGTAACACCCTACTCCTGTTTGTATGATGATTCTTCTGTGCTCGGGAAGCCTCCGAATCTCAGATGTACAAGCTAGAGTTAGAGAAGCTATCTCCCCTGGATCCCGAGTCCGATCCCCCTCTCCACTAGGCATGGCCCTCCTTTTATATTCTAAGGGGATACCAAACATGCTGAGAGATCTACCTAGGGAGAAGGGAAAATATTCTCTATATTAATTACATGTCTTGTGCCTTAGCTTGGAAGCTAAGCCACGGTTTGCCTTTGAGTGGGGCCCAGCGCCGTCCCTTGTCTGACACGGGGGACACCCCTGTCAATCTCCCATTAATGGATGAAGAATTGTGGTGGCCGTCCTCTGACGGGGAGGATTTCGAATGACCCTCTCGATGGGACGGGTCATACCTTCCTCCACTCCGCCGGAGATAGATGCGACGTGGGGGCACGGCTGTCTGCCCAGCCAGATGTGACTGGTGACAGGCCGGTCACAGACCGGTCATTCCTGTCCGCCGCGCACCAGTCGCGCACGCCGCACGTCTGCCCCTACCGCATTGAATGCGGCATGGGGCAGTTGAGGCGCTGCGTTCATTAAAGGAGGCTCGGCTTGGGCTCCCTCCCCGCTCGCTCCCCCCGCCAGATGGCGGACAGGCGGGGGCCTCGGGGCAAAACGGCGCGAGGGCCCGAGGGGCATGACGTGGCACCCCGAGGCCTCGGGGCAAAACGGGCATGACATGGCACCCCGAGGCCCCCTGACCGCTCCTATGACCCGCGGGGTACGGGGGTAGAGCCATGCTGTAGGTCATGCGCCAGGATGGGAAGGTAAATTCCCCTTATTCCGCATACCCCGGGCCCACTTCACCGACAGTTTCCTTGTTAAAATTGAAAAAAATATGCATGACTTATTATCACACTATGATTCACTTCCTGTTCTCTTAGTATGTGATACCTGCAATTGTGAATGCTTTCAGTAAGGCAATTAAAAAGGCTACTGAGAACCAAGAAGTTGTAGAAGCAATTGGGGTGCCTATAGTAAGAGGACCATGGTATGATGCATCTCTTGCTGTGGGTCATCGACGAAGATCTGTATCATGTACATTCCCAGTGTCTGGGCCACAGGGCTCAGGAATTTTTCAATTCAAAGCTATTCGGAATGGAGGTTAATTCATATTCCTCAAACTACATATATTTAATCATTCGTGTTCTTTACTTCTTTATGTGTAGTTTTTAAGACATCCATTTTCTTTTAAGCAATTGAACTCAACTAGTTCCTATCGAAGAAGGCTCTGGAAAGCTCAGTACATTGTCTTTTGTTCTGCAGACGATGGTGTACTCTCTTTCCTACGGCATCATGACTGGGACATACTTGTCATGGAGGCTCATCTTCATGTGCCTTCAGATGATGACAAGCAGAAAACACTCAAGATAAACCTTATAGACTGTCCTGATCATCCTAGTAGAGTATCCGACTGTGAGAGTATTCCTTGGGAACGTCAAGAACAGGAGAGTTAACTATATACCAACTTGATGTAGAGTTGAAGACACCTACCTTTCTGCCAACACTCAGAAAAAATAGAGCAGATCGGTCTCGCATAGCGATGGCTGATTCGGTGCTTGGCTTCCCTCTCTATAGCGTGTGTTTGGGCGGTTGGCACATGGTTCGGGGCGTGTGCTCTGGTGCACATCCTTCCTCGACAACCAGCTGTTGATGTAAAACTTTTCTTACAGCCAGCTGTCGATGTAAAATTTTTCTTGTAACATTTTCTTCCTATCTTAATTACATTGAATGACCTCCTTCGGTCATTCCGGCAAAAAAAAAAAAGAGAGCAGATGTTGATCTTTGTGATTTGTATGTACTGATGTGCCGAATTTGATATGGATTAAGATTCATGACAATAGGGAGTGCAGACTTGTAGTGAACAGGATTTATGTGGATATATGTTGTCATTCGTTTTTCAGCATTCGTTCGTCAGCGAGCTGCGAGTGAGCCGCTGTTACGCCGAGATGGTTCAGGTTGAGATAGGCTGTGGAGTTAGGGCGTTTTTGACAGAGAAACCAGGGAGTTGTTCCTATGTGGAATTGTGGATGCCGGGAATTGGATTGTTTGCTGAGAATTTTTTCCTCTTCTTTTAAAAAAGGAAAGTGTTTGAGTTGCAAACAGTGTCTTGATGGTTCTCTTGAGACTACCCTCAGTAAACACTAGCAATCTGCATCATATTGTACTGAATTTCTTGTTTTGGCATGTGCATTACACCACGTTAGACTCCCAGAGTTTATCTTTGGATTGGGTCGTCATATGATTTGAAATCAATCAAATTATATATTTGTTTCATGCCACGCATGGTTAAGTCTTGCTGGTATTCAGCATCTGTATCCTGCAATTTGAGTATTCCTTTCTTTGTTTTGAGTATTTGACTTGATCTGGAAACATACGGTGTTGTTGACCAAGTAACAAAAGTGTCTTCTTTCTTCCTTTTTTTTCTTTTGAAGTGTACCAAGTAACAAATTCGACCCAGCAGATCAACAATTTATTCCCTTCCTGATCGCCTTTTACGCATCAAACGTCTGATACCGCGCGCGACACACAAGAAATCTCCATGACAGCAGTATACTTTGATTCAAATGTCATCAACTTGGGATTGCAGAGACCATGTACACATTTCACACAACAAAGATATTTTGCAACACATACTCCCAAGAGTATGAATTTAGGCAAGAGGCAAAGCTATAAACCGAAGTGAAAGTAACAATGGGAAATGGTAAAAGTGATTATTCTAAGGATGTTACAATATCTAACAAAGCCGGTTACAACAGATTCTTAGTGTTCATATCCTGATACTCTACTGTACAAATATCCCTGCGGACAAAAAAGTTGCACTTTATCTTAGCTCATTTGTAGAGTTTGTCCTTCCAATAGTGCTTGGTTCTCCGATTGAGACGGATGCTAATGACTTGGAAGCCCAAGCAGTGGCATTCCTGGCCCCTTCCTGTAAATTCCCTCGCTTCGAAGGGTATAACCTAAAGAATTTGTGTCTTGCTTGTTCAAGGTAGGTGAAGAAATATTCATGCACACCCACCAAGTTTGGAAAAAGAGTATGCCTCCTCCACGCCCGTTTGGCGAAGGAACCTATCTTTGGAAAGAGAAGATACAGTAACCTCAAGATTACAAATGCAGTTGCCAGTGCTAGATAAGTATCCTGCTGAAGTATTTTCTCCGGTGAGCGTGCCCACCAGAATGGACAATTTTCCTGTTCAGCATCCTTCTTAAGCTCAATACCATCTACTGAATGTAGCACGGCCTCTGACGTCATTGAAACATCGAAACCTTCATCACATAAATTCAACATTAGAAAATGACTTATAGAGAAACAGAGATAACTACCAAACATTTTTTAAGGAAAGGAAATTCTGAAGTCCAAAGACCAGGACATGAATTTTGGAACAAAAATACCTTATATGTTCATGTCACACCCGAGCTAAGAAAATACAAGCTCATTTAATGATACATAACACAACTGCTCAGTTGAATCTTGAAAGTGCAAGAAAACTACCAAAACGAGAGAGATAGAGAGAGACAGAGTCCACACTCCACATGTAATAATTGGTGCACCTGAAACATCACGGTAGAAAGCAGCCAGGGACTTAACAGTCCGTGGTCCATGATACCGCACTCGCATAGTTGAATTCAAGAGAAATAGTGTTGGAAAACCATGAATCCCATATCTTGATATTATACTGCAGTTCCAAAAATCAAGTTAACATTTCACCAAAAGAACATCTTACACTAAGAGGCACATTTTTATTTACACAGAGGCACACATAACATACCTTGGCCTGATTGAGGATTCTTCAAACGCAAAATGCCGAATAGATGGGAACAAAGATGCTAATATCTCAAAATTTGGCTTGCATTCTTGTGAGAATGGGCACCAGGAAGCATAGAAGAGTACAGCAATGTAATCATCTTTGTTCATGTGAAGAAGAGTAATGGCCTTCGCCAATGTTACCTCATCCCCCTGCGATGACAAGGATTAAAAGTCAGCTTGGCATTTAGAGCTACAATAGATATAAGACGGAGAGAAATAGATACCATAATCACTATCTAACAGTTAAAACTAATTTGAGCTTGCTTTGATGCAAAAGAACAAGAAGCGGGTCAAGCTACAGATATTTTATGTGGGAACCATAGCTCCAAACATGACAAGACAAACAAAATACCACCCGCAGAGGAACTCGTATTGTATTTTCTACTAATCAAACAAGCAAATGGCTTCCAAGGTTCATAGCCGGAAAAAAGGCTTATGAAAGCAGATTGGAACCCCAACATATAGTAGACCTTTGGTAGTTTGGCTGCTTCAGAAGGGATGTGTGTGGTACAAACATGGAACGAATCATGATTATATCTCCAAAGCAAGCAAACAAAATCTGGTATAAAATTGGCCTTCGCTTGTTTTGGCATAAGCAATATATTAATGAATAGACGTCAGAGCAAGGTGCTAAACACTGTAACAATCTATCGATTCAGTTACGCCCGTAGCAAGGTGCTAAACACTGTAACAATCTATCGATTCAGTTACGCCCGTAATCTCAGGGGCTCAGAACCACCACTGGAATAGGTATGAACCCTAGAAAGCTTCCTAATCTCAGGACCCCAAATATTCGCACTTTAAACACTAACCAATCAATCATTTAGGCAAATAGGCAGTCTACCTTGATTCGCACAATACGATCATATAGCATCGCTAAACATGGTGGAAACCAGTATGCATATAACAAATAAATTCTGTTGTTACTTATATCACGCCATCGCAACAGCTCACCTCGATGACGCCGACAGGGTCGCCGCGGCGATCCAGCGTCGTGCATGTGCCGCCAGGCCCAAGGATTTCCTCCGCCGCAGTAGGCACCGGGCACGCCTCGGGAAGCGGCGAGGCGGCGGCGGTGGCGGCGATGATGGGGAGGAGGAGCGCCGTCCAACACAGCAGCCGCGTCGCCATGGGGGACCGCGGGGAAAAGGAGGGGATCGCTCAATCCTAGATCTGGGGGGGGGGGCCTGGAGCGCGGCCGCTGGATGCCTTCAGCGCCGGGAGGTCACGGCGGCGGCGGCGGCGGCGGCGGCGGCCATGGGATTTGGGCTGCGATGGGCGGGCCGGCGTTGGGGGGTGGGGGGTGGGGTTGGTACGTGAGGCTTGCGTTGCGGGAGTCCGCTTTATCGGGCTGGATCACCATTCAGCCGTCCGATCACGATCGGACGGCGGATACTCCTACACGTGCCAGTCTGGACCGCGGATTGCGGGCCCACCGTGCTGCGGTAACGAGGACGAGTGATGAAGGATTGCGGTGCACCCTACGGAGTATGACATGTGGGCCATCGTGGAAAGCCGCCGGTGGATCCACGTGTCAGTAGCGCCGTCATTGTCAGTCGCGGGCGCGGGTACGCGGTTTGGAGGAGGCTGTAGCCTTGCCCCCATCTAGCATCAGTTTTTCTTTTCCTTCTCTCGAGTCAAAATCCGAATCAGTTGATGGGTAGGCTTGACGCAGATGAGACGTTCGCTGCATCGATTTGCTATTTGGGTTTTGGGTGATTTGAGTCACGGACAAGCAGGCACCGGGAAATCTACCTATGCAACTTGCAGGGTTGCATGTTGTGAAGGTTCTTTTGCGTCTTTAGGTGCCATATAAGCTCACATGATACGGTGGATGATTGATATAAAGAGAGAGATGAGAAAAAGAGACCAATAAATTAATAGAAAAGAGATAAAGTAAAATTAATATGATGTATTGAGATAAGTGTGTTAGAGGTAATTTGTTATATATATTACCTCTTAATTAATGAGTTGTTGATATGGACTAGGTTAAGGGTGACTATCATTCTCGCTATAAAACTTGCCCTTGTATCTCAAAAGAATCGCATGATAGGCTGCCTAAAATTGATTAAGCTACAGGAGCATGCGGTCCCCGTCATTCAGTCCCAATTGTACAACGTTCTGAACTGATTACTTGTCTCCAATGTGGTCTTGCTTATTATACACCGATAATGCCCTCTTTTTTTTATATATAGTTGCTCCAAGTGGTTGGGTTTTTGGAATATAACCAGAGCACCAGTCTGAGTTGTCTGATGTTTGGATTGTGGCTCGTTTCAGATTTGCAAAATTAATTCTCTTTGAAAACGGAGAAAATTGAAGAAACTATAGAGGAATTGAACCAAATCCTGTACATTACATAAATTATTGTGTTCTAAAGAGTCTTTATTTGAGTGAGGTTAAGCTACAGGACGAGTAATGAATGGGGCAATCATTTTGGTCTCAGGTGGCATGTCTCTGTCACGCGAATAAGATTGTATCCGCTAGCGAATAATGGAAGTATGAATGAGTGAGAGCACTCAGCAGCGTTGAGCGCATTCCCCAATCTGCATTTGAGGGTAGCGTCTTATTTGTGATGCTTGTTGATATTTGGTCTAGCCTGTTAATCTGCTCCCCACTAAGTACTATCAGTCTGTAAGAGATATCAGCATGCCATGATGCCAATTCCGTTGGATTTTAGGTCCATTAGGATGGGATGTCGCTGTCATCACGACATATAGATGTGTCAGCTGGTAACAATAACAACCATGATGAACAAGAAATTCCACCATGCATATAGAATCACGGGTGGCTGAAACAACAGAATGCCACCAATTCACAAAGATGGCTTCGTCAACAAATTGAACCTTACAGCATACAGAGCACCGTGTCTGACAAAAGTAAAAATTCCATATACATAGAGAAATGGATATGGGAACATTCGATTGGAACTCTGCAAGGATTTTTTTTTCTTTTTGTTTCTCATTCATTTCGAGAATAACTTATCTTGATTTCACAGGGATGACAGGTATAGATACCAACGAATTTACAGACTATCGGTATACAAAACAAATGAGTACCGTTACAAAAAGAAGAATGTGAGGGGAAAAAATGAATTATACCTATATGGCACATTGGCCGCGATTATGTACACCGCAGCATCATCCCTTTATTGAATATATAGTCTTTGTGCTACTCAAATAACTTTGAAGGCTTCATCTCTGTACCCTGGCAATAAAACCTCGGCCTGGAAAGCTTAGCTACCAGGCCTCTCTGCAGCACGCACTTGTCCGATCAGTCCAATGGCACCTTGCGGTTCCATGACGATGCATGACGAGTTAGCTGACCATGCCTCTAGTGTTGAAACTGAATTCTGTTCTCAACTGTTCTTGGACAATAGTTTTAACAGTATGTAGCCATGTAGGTGGTAAAGAATAAGTTCATATCTCATGTCAGCTGTCCTGTTCATTGTTTTCTAATAAATGGCTTCTGACAGACCAGAAGTTTTTCATCACTAGCTATGTCAAGATCCAAAATACGGGCATCCCACCTGAGCTGTGTTACAACAGATCTTGCAGCTTCAATAAGAGGGGCAGTGTCACGGATTATAACCCAACCCTGCATAGGCATCAAATAAGTAGCTAAAATTTAGACAACATAAGAGTACAAATCAATTTATAACTGATGCATGTACAGCTTCGAATATAAAGGATGTAAGGCGGGTGCTGATTCTAAACTAAGCGTGCACTATTTTACAAGAAATGACAATGTCTTCAACCAGGGTTGCCACAATATTTGCACAAATAAATACAATACTTCTGTACGGCATAATTAAGCAATAATGCACTAACTTGTTTCATACAATAGAAGTGTTAACTCTCAACCTCTACAATAACTACCCAACTAGGGGCGCACACAGTCATTGCAGTGCCAAAATTGGCACACAAAAAAAGTGGGAGAGAAAGTAACAGAGAAAAAGGAAAATCCTAAACCAACATAACCAATAAAGGGGACACACCCAACAATCACCAGCACACACACCATACTTGAGTCCTCTACCATATGAATCATTTGGTTATTCTGAACCAGCAATAACTTGTTGTGGTTTGTTGGCACACATGTACTAGAACATCTATATGCGAGTTACGGATCCACTTTTATGATTAAATGATTCTGTTACAAAATCAGTACGGAGTATATAATTAGAAAAGGTTGCTTACCTCTGGACGTAGGATGCGATCAACTTCCAAGAATATATCAAGAGTAGAACATCTATGCTTTTGGTGCTTCTCAAGTGATAGAAAGCCATCAGCATGGACCATATCATATGTTCTTGGATAAGTTGGAAATGCTTCACACCTAAACACGTTTCACATTTTATCAGTCGATCGAAGGTATGTGATCAGCAGATCAACATAACTACAAATCTAAAAAGGTTCTTACACATGCATGTTGCATTGATCTCAATGTTATTTACATATGCTTATTCTACATGAAAAGTATTTTCGTTAAGCATGCTAAAAGGTTTATGTTTAATGGTGTTTATAGTTTATAATATGCAACTTTGAAAGAAAGAGAAATAGGAATTTCAAATAAGCAGAACGTATACAACACCACCTAAAAAAGGGGGAAATTAGAGAGAACTTGTGAGCCAAGGGCAATTACTTACCAGTCATGTTGAACCCCAATAAAACCACGATCAAAAATTAGCGGCAGATAGTTTGGAGCATTTGTAGGAACAACATTCATCACCCATACAGATTTTCCAGCCTTAAGTAAAGCAGCATTAAATCCACCGAAGTGAGCATTCATGTCTAGAACATTCCTTAGCATGTTAAATGGTGGTTGTGGGTCCTCATCACCGGGTCTCTTTGGATGATCAGAAAATATAAGAGGAGACAGCAAAGACCAGTAGTTTCGCACCATTGAGTCCCAGTTTGCAGTATTCTCGGCAAAGTCTTCTGAATGCACCCCTAACAACAAGGCAGAGAAACAATTTAGAAATATTCATGTCTTCACCATATTGTTTGTCTGTAGTTCTGTTTGTTATTTTTCTCCAGTTGCATTTAGACTGACACTTACCATGTATATCAAGTTCTGTTGAGTTCAACCTAGACTGAGAAGGCCATGTAGTGCGATGTTCAATGGAAATCCATCGCTGACTTCTTGTTCCTGCTATGCAGGGATTTAGTGGTTGGTAATATGGTGATTCTGGATCATGAGTACAAAGCACAGGGCCTGATTTCCTGTGAAAGAACACATCAAATTCAGCATGTTTTTAATCATTTAGCCATATCATACAACTTGGAGTTATCAGCAAGCGGTTATATTCAAAATAAGACATAATGCGAAACTGCAACATGATACCTTGAACTGTAGCAATCCAATTTATTTGTCTTTTTCCACACAATTGTCTCATCTTGTTGTGACAACATCTCCCAACAGAGGCTATCAGCAAAGTCGCGAATGGTTCTCCACTTCTTTTGATTTTCTTTGTCACGCAAAGCCCTGTGTGTATTCAGACTTGATGTCCACACAAAGTATCCACTGGGCCTTAATAATCTATCCACTTCAACCAAGAAACCACCATCTGCAACATTACATTAAGGAAATAAATAGTAAGATAACAACATTTTGATTGTCATTCAAGAGTAAGAAATATATACATGCAAATTGGTAATTGCAAGGGCGGGAGCTTCACTGAAGTGATCCAAAAATAAGACAAGAACAGAATTTGCTCATTTATCACTAACTAAAATGAAATCACTTCAGGTAGATATCAGTATGCTATTGAATATTTGGTTCAGTCAGATTTTTATATCAATTTTTAATCCTTTTCATGTGCAGATACTAACCTAAGATGGCAGATATGAAGGACATTAAGGCTAAAATTAGATTGACAAAAAACATTTCAACCAATGAGATTTAGAACACGGGAAAGAACAAAAACTATGCATACCATTTTTGTCCCATTCAATATTGCATTTTGCACAATGCACCATATCAAAAGAAAGATAGGGATATGGAAGCTGTTTCGATGCAAATGAACCAATCATTGCAGGGATTCCTCTCTCTAGTGTTATTTGCACTTGACTGCCTGACGCCTCATAGTTAGCAATGCACATGGTCAAGAGATCTCTCTGAAAAAGGTGTGCTCCCAAGGTACCAAATCCACATTCTATATCAAGAACTGTCCTAACCTGAAATTGTTATGGCAAGAAACACTATTAGAAAGGCATGTGATAACAATTGCAATTATCTCTAACCTTATAATAGCAAAGTCGAAGATGAACTAGTGAACCATGGTGAGAAACTAGAAAATTACTTCAGCAGA